GCTGTTTAATGGATGGTATTGTTTCTACTGCTTATTATTTGTTTAATTAATTCAATTTATAGGGTTGCCCACTTGCCAAGCGACTTTGGGCAGTTAACAAGATTACAGACATCACAATCTGATGAGGAAACGATAAATTACAGCGTAAGGTGCCGAGAACAACACACAAATCTTGTATAATTACAATAGGCTCAAATACCATCCTGGCTCAGCCCCCGATAGAAGAACCAGGTCTTCAGGGCACTCTTAAAGATCAGCAGGGCTGGAGTCGTGTGAACCTGGCAGGGTGGGGAACACTGTTCCACAGGGCAGGCCCGGTGCGAGAGAAGACGTACCTCCCGCCATGATGGGAGCTGGAGAATGCCAACCCTGTTGGATTTCGTAGGATGGCCAGGGCTGGAGACAGATGGCCCTGCCGGGAAGGCCATAGCTGACCACCAGCGCCTTGACTTGTACCCAGAAGCGCGCTGGTAATTAAATGGTTTCTGCTTTTGTCCTTCTGCTTTTTAAAAAATACCTTTGGGATCTACCTAGAGAACTCTGTCAGACAGAAATAATGATTTGATTGCTGCATGATGCATTTTCTCCTCGTAAACAATTATAAACGGAAACCAGGTCTAAAAACTCATTCCATGCCCCCCGCCTGGTGCAGTCGGGGCACACAAGGCAGAAAGAACAGAGATGAACGTTGGGAGAGCGCCTAATAAAGACCGCCACGGTCCGCAGAGCACGTGGCAAGGGACGGAGGTCCACAGGACGGGGCAAAAGGCGGAAGATGCAGACAGACTTGCAAGTGGTCACCGTCCCTCCTGCTTCGCTCGGCATCCATGCCTGATTTGGCACCACCTCCCCCAACCTGGCACCGTCCAGATGGGCTGCCCCTTCCAGAGTTCTCGGGCAGCAAAAATACAAATTGCAGCCCCGGGATTGGAAGAGGCTGAGTTGCCAAACGCTGGGGTAGGGAAAGCGTTAAAAAAAAGGACAAGCGTATTCCCGGGCTTCTGAGGCAGGCAGATGCCACAGCGCTAAGCAGCTTAATCGGTAACACTTTGGCTGGTTTGCAAATCTTTCCTCTCTGTAGGATAAACAGAGCTGATGCACTTAAAGAATGCCCCGTTTGCGAAGGACAGTGACTAGAGAGAGAGAGAGACGAGACGAGACGATGGGGCTGCTAATTCCGCTGGCAGCGGGCTTACAAGCGAAGGGCTTGTCTGGGCACACAGGGCCCCTTTCCAGAAAGAGGGATAAAGACTTTGGGCACGTCGCAGAAGGAACCCTCCAACATTTTTGGCAGGCGCAGCCTGGCTTCCGCTCAGTCTTCTCCGGGATCAAACGAAATCATTTTTTGGAGGGGATGAGACATCGCATAATGTCAACAGGCTTAAGGAGGGAAGGAGAGGCGCTAATCATGCCTGGAGCCTCAAAGGGGGCATGTCAGACCACAGGGAAGGCGTTTGTGTAAGAGGAGGGCTCCCTGGATCCAATCCGCCCTTCCCTGCCACGGTATTTCTCCAGTTTAGAGGAGGAGGGGACTGAAGGGGTCACCTGCTTGAGGATGCAGCTTCTCCAACCGGGCTGGAGATGCGGGGAGTTTTGGCCTGACTCCTCCGGAAGATGCTCGGCTGGGAAAGCGTTGCAAAGCCGGGTGGGGCCGAGGAGTGGGTGGCTTCGAAAATTCAACTAACTGAACATCAGTGGCACGCACTGGTCACAGACTGGAGACAGGCCGAGCATGTCCCTTTTGTCTAGGTGAGGAGCCAGGGGCACTGGCGTTCACGCACCTTCACGGAACGTGGTTGCTGTGATCCTCCCCCTTGCTCTCCCCCCTCCCCAAGGACCCTGCCGTTTTGGCTTCCCCCAAAGCCGGGTCAGGGAAACAAAGCCCTTTGCTCTGAGGATAGCAGTGCCCGGAAGAGAAACGTCTAGAAAACAAATGCCTCCAGAAACTCAGGCCAAAAATGACAAATGCCTTTTTGTAAGACGGCCCAGCGGAAATACTTCAGGAGCTGAAAATAAAAATTAAAAGGAACCAAATACATTTGGCATTCCTTTGATCCAAGAGGGTGTGCGAAAGTTTTTTTTTTTTTTTTTTTTAAATTTCTTGGAGGGGGGAAGAGTTTGTTTTGCACACATTTCATTCCAGGCAATTGCATAAACCGGGCATAGCCTCCGGCGCTGGGCTCAGCGCTTGAAATCTCACGCGGGGAACAGCGGCGATCTCCAGGGCGGGGCTGTCGGTTCTGGGTTGCAAAAATCTGGAAGACCACAAGCGACGCAGACAACTCTAGCCCTTTGCTGGCACCTACTGGCGGCTTAGCGTTTTGCGGTCCAGGTATGGTAATCCGAAGATGAAAATGGGTGAGCCTGTGAAGCTTTCCCTAGTTTCAGCTAGCACCCTCTCCTTTTCCACTCTCCATCCCCACCCACAAGTAATGAATCCAGGAGAAAAGAAGAAAGGCTGCAAAACAGAGACAACCAGGAAGATCAGATCTGAGCTGCGATAAACAGAGGCGCCACTAGAGGGCAGCAACAGACAGAGAAGTCTGAACTCTTTGTGGCCACCTCGTGGCCATGTGGGGTCTAGCAGCCTGATACAGAAGCTCTCCCTACAAGGGGGCAGCAGAGCAGAACTGAGCAGAGCTTCCAAGAAACATCTCCCCCTCCCCAGTTTCCCATTTAATTTTTAATCCTGCTTGTTGGGTAGGTAACAGCCCACAAATCAGGCTTCAAAAGTTACTCGCAAGGAGACACACAAACACACCCAGTGAGAACTGCACGCATCAACAAGTGGAACAGTCACATTAGAACCAAGGAAGATGGAAGCGGAGCTGGCATTCAGACGTCTCTCGATTTGCACTTGCTGGAAAACAACACCGAAATAAAAATGGAGCAATAATCTCGGTTATTTGCTCTGTACTGAAAAACGGTTGCCAATTTTTTAAAAAATCTGTACCCAAATACTTGCAAAATCCATGCGTTGGGTGCGAAAGCAGGCATGATACGAAAAATGTGCTCCGAAGCACACATACTTTTTAAGGCGGATTTTTAAAACAGAAAGCCAACTGACGTGGAAACAGGTGGGAGCAAATTTAAGGTCTGAAACGGGAGAGACGAAATGAAACCCTTTGATAGGTCTGCCCATCTCCAGAACAAGGCTCCAGGTTACATAGTGGGTCAAGATGGGCTTTATTTTGGAGAGAAATTTGTAAAATATCTCAAACATGTCCTAGACCTGGCCAGATTTGGGGCTCAATTTTGGGAAAAAGTGGTTTTGGGGGGATTTAATTGGAGAACAAGGAGATATTTGATATTCTGCAAGGTTAAGGCGCTCATTTTATTCCTTAAGCACCTTTAAACAAAAATGGGACTACAGTTTCAGCCTTGCCTCCTACAAATGGGATCTGAGGAAGGGGTGTGCTCTTAGTGGCCCCTGGTTGTTCATATCTGATCTGTCCTCAGACTATCCTGGTCAGCAACGGCTTTGAAACAGGGGAGAGTTACGCAATCCTCACCACCCTGCAACTTAGGCTAGTTTTTCAACTATGCTGTAAAAACTACAGGTCATCCTCGTTTAGCGACTGCCTCATTTAGCAACCACCTGCAGTTATGATGGTGATGAAGAAGTAACTTTACGACCAGTCCTTGCTTTGCAGGTCTGTAAAGCAAAGGAAAGCTGAAGTCAGATCATAAGCACAGTTGCGGTTTCACTTAGTGACCGCTCTGCTTAATGACCAAGTTGCCAGTCCCAATCGTAGTTGCTAAACAAGGATGACCTGTAGTTCATACAATAATGCTTTTGTTCACAGTTTTTTTTAGGGATTTGGAAAGCTGAAGGATCAGCTAGTAGCCTTAGTTGTACCCATGCCAAACGCCACATTCCTTGCTAATGGGAAGGTCATTGGATACATTTTGGCTGGTAGCCACAATGCAACCCAAGCCCAGTTTTACTACAAGCATCTTCTAGGGTTTTTCTTTGCAAGCTAGGACCTCTTCTCTAGAGAACGCCTTGCAGCCAGGATGAGGCTGGTCCACGCCACCACCCTGGAGGTACATGCAGCATCCTGGTACCCACGCAGGGGGTCAGTGAGCACGACTGATGAACCCTGGGCCGTTATGAAGCGATGGACGGATTTAGTGGCAGCCAGGATGGCTTGCCAGGAGAAGGGCAGGGAATCAGAGTTTTCGCTCTATTCTCTTTCATTCTCTCAGGCCTTGAATTCCTTTCCAAAAATTCATTTTCTGCACTCTGCATAACATTGCTCAGCCCGAAAGAGAACAACATGAGAGGGATGTGTGTAAGTACATGATTACTTTCCGGTTACCTATTTCATAATTATCTCCTCTCACATCCAAATTGCAATCTAGTAATTACTTTGGCTCATCTTGGAGAAAATCTATCTATGTGGTCACTAAGAGTTGACACCAACTTGATGGTCATCCAGCCAGCCATCCAGCCAGCCATCTGACATTTCTGCAGGTCACATCCAGGAAGGGGGTGTCAAAAAAGTCAAGATAGCGGCTATCACTCGGCACAGTCCTGACCTTTCATGTGCCTCACACATTAAAAAGGGACAGGGTTTCAACTACATAGCCACCATTTTGACCTTTTTTGACTCCCATCCCCTGAAGGTGCCCCTGGCCATGTAAAAAGTATTTTGGGCCCCCATGTGCCCTCAGGATTGCCGCTGTGACCTCTGGGGCCGCCCCATCCTGCTCTCAATCTCCTTTCCCCAAGGACATCTTTGCAACACGAGGATGGACTATCTCGGAGCTTTTTAGGCAGCGGGCTCAGGGCAATGCCAACTGGCTGATTGGCTAGAGGGCCAATGACCTCCCAATGCCCTGCCCAGCTCAAGTGCTTTTCTAGCACTTCTAGGACGTGCCAAAGTCGCACTGAGGATTTTCAACGCAGAACCGCACAAACAGTGCTTTAAGCAAGACAAACAACCTCCAAGCCGGGAATCTCAACCGACGCCGGACCTCAAGCGTGAGTGACGTCCTAAGAGCAAACCCATGCCTATGTTCTCTCCGAAGAGATAAGGAAGAAGGACTATTCCAAAGAGGAAAAGACAGCCATCTCTTTACTTACCGGGTACCCCTCGGTTTTCTTCTGACACCACTTCAACAGCGCGTTCCGCTTTGAGCCACCATATTCCCTGGCCAACGCGGCCAACGGATCCTTCCTTTCCACACTAAAAGCCAGAAGAAGAAGAAGGTCTTATTTTCTCAACCTCTCCATTAACCAGCTTGGCTGGCTGGCTTTTGAAATAGCTACCAAATGTTAAAGATGGGCAGGTCATTGGGAGGTCGTGTTATTCCCCACCACGGCAGGAGGCCACCCATTCTCAAGGTCATCAAAGGAAGGAAACCTTGCCTCACGTTGGGGCGTCCTCTTCTGCTGTCATCTGGATAATGCCACAAATGCCAAGATCCTTCCAAAAACTTGTGACAATCGGGGAGGAAACTGTAACTTATTAGCCAGAGGTGGCTTACAAGAGCTCTTGGCTTGAAGGTCGCCAAGCACCTGGTTGAGGGTCCATTAATTGGTGGGAAGGGGAGGAGAAAGAAGCAAAGAGTTTCAACCCACTGGGGGTATGAAAGTCATTTGCAACCTTTCCACTGGTGATGGGCAATGAACTGTTTGGTCTGCAAGGAAGATGCTTCTCTCCCCAAGCCACATCTGTGAGCCTCCTATGAGGTCCAACCTGGGAGCAAAGCTAATCCCTGACATTTCAAAAACGATGTCTTCCTGCCAAGTTCCCATCAGGGAGACTAACAGAACTGGACAATGGGAGTGCCAGTAGGCACTTAGAAAATCGCGAAGTTCACCTCTGCGAAAGGCACATTTTTTCCCCAATTTACTCTTAAATAATGCTACCTGCACTTATGCGCTATATTTGGTGGCTGCCAAAGATGTTCTTGATTCAGCTCTAGTGAGATACAACAGCCTGGCTTGCAGGTAAAACCAAAATCTGATGGTTTGTGAAATGTGTGGGTTGAGGAACTTAAAGGAGATTCCTAATAAAGGTTGGAAAGTGAGCGGAGGACAGAGAAATCCCAAAGGTAAGACAAGTTCAGCAATATGGCATCAAGCTGGGCTCAATCTTCAGGCTGGAATGGGGGGAAAATCCAGAAAAAACAGTATGATCCCGAGGTTGGGAAACTGGTCTTCCAGATATGGATGGCATCTATTGAACACTGTCTGGGGACGACAGGAGTTTGAATCCAGAAACACCAGGAGGTTCACAACACCCCAACCCTGGTGTGGATTATGTTGAGAGGGGTGGACCAGTTGATGCCACCCATTTACCGGCTTCCTACAGCAATGATGCTACAGGACTCACCTGAGTTTGCTCGGGGGTTTCAAGCCGCTGGGCGTGGAAGTGAACATCCTGCCGGCAAACGTCATGGTGGGGGGCTTGCTCAGAGACTCCAGGGAGGGGCTCTTGCGTAGGAAAGGGTCCGGCTTCAGCTCCTCGTTTCTCCCTTTGAGCAGATCTTCAGGGGGAAGGGGAGAACAAGAACCATTAAAGCCTGCAATTCCTCAACAAGGGAATCTAAAGAGGCTGCTGGCAGGCATCAAGACACGAATCGAATTTGCACATCTGGCGGGAGTTGAACATCCCCAAGCAGAGACGGAGAAAGAATGAAATTCTATCTGCGACCGTGACGGTAAGCCGGCTTCGTTGGAAATTGTAATGTATGATACCAACTTTCCAAAGTGGGGCCTCATCGGATTTTTTTTTATTTGCAAGATTTTTATCTTGCCTTTTACTGAGGAGCTGAAGGCAACACGGACGCCATTTCTATCCCCCAAAACAGCAGCCTTATCAGATAGTTTGGTGGAGAGATTAGCCTAAGACGCTCGGGGAATTTCAGGGGCTGAAGGAAGGTGAAATCGTCTGTGGGGATGACCTTGGGAGGCAGGAGGGAGAGCCGCAGACTGGACAACCGGCGTGGAAAAGATCTATCAGTCCACAGGAGGAGAGGGGGAGGCCTGGGAAGCGTTTCAGAAGGGACCCCCCTAGTTTTCGGGAGAGTAAAAGGAGAGGAGGGGAGAAATACTTCCGGTCTTGCAAGATTCTGTGAATGGCACCTTACAGTCAAGATAGAGCTAGTACTCCTGGGTGTGCTTCTTGGCTGGACTACCTCACAGGGCTAACCTGGGCCTCATCCGTGGTACAGGGTAGGAAGAGGAGGAATATTTTTGGAATTTACCAACTGGGCACAACAACATAAAGTGACAGCACGGACGATATCATTTCCGTTTCCAGCCAGCCTCACCCTTCCCAGGAAGGTCACAATTACCAGCAAAGGACATAATCAGTAAGGAGAATTTGTGAAAAGAGGAACTGTGGCACCAGGCGGGTTTTTTTTCCCCCTGGCTGTTTTCTTCCAGGAATCAAGGGCTCCCCCAAGAGATTTCTGGCTCGGATCATCTCAGACCACGTATCTGAAGCTGCAGGAAACTCTTGCGGTCTTGCACCGTGCTTTTGCTTCTGCAATTTAACCATCTGGTCAATTAAGGTAATAGCTGAATCCAATAAGAGTCTCTCTCCCCACCTCCCCCCTTTTTAATGTGTTCGCTCCAGCCTTGAAAACAAGCTCATCCTGACTCTTGCATCCCCAGCCCAAAGAATATAAGCATCCTTGAAAACGTACTCTTTTTAAACGTGTCTGCATTCGTGCCGGAGGGTCAGCTTGCTAAAAGGTAACCGTGGCCATCCCCTTGAAAACTGGGTGCCTGGAACTAAGAGGACTATTGTGGACTAGGCAAAATTCCACTAAGCTTGGTCTGGGGCTGGGAAACGTGAAGAACCACTCTTCGGCCCTCTGGGCTTCTTTCTCATGCCTGAAACTCAGATTTGATGGGGTAAATGAGGAAGAGTGATAAATGCAGGCCAAAATTAATTGATGGGGTAGCTGCTCGGTCCACTGGACCACAGCCTAATGAAGATGGTCATGGCGAGGGCAGCCGCCCTTCAAAGCTCTGAAGGTCCACCTTCCCGTCCTCTGGGTATCTAAGGAGGCCTCTGGGTCTTTATCCCCGAGGGCTTCTGAGACGGGGTCTGCCATGGATAGGTATAACGGTATGTGGGAATGACCTTGGGAGACAGGAGGGAGAGCCACGGACTGGACAACTGGTGTGTGAAAGTTATCCCAGCCCACGGAAGGAGGGCGGGCACGGGAAACCTTTCAGCAGGGACCCTCCTTCGTTTTCCGGAGAGTAAAACGAAGGAGGGGAGAAATGCTTTTGGTCTTGCAAGATTTTGTTAATGTATCCTTACAACAGAGAGTGAGTTCTCTTGGCTGTGGTTCTTCTCTGGACTACCTTGCAGGGCTAACACTAGGAGAGTCCTAAGGAGGTTGTAGAAACTATAGAGCTTGGAGGCCAGGGCAATGCCCCGTTGGCTTCAAGGACTTCACTAAAGGTCTGGGGAGTGGAAAGGGAGAGGTGGGATCAATAGCTACTGGGAGCAATCAATCTATTAGGGATCTAAGGGAACAAGAGATTCTGGCTTCAAAACCAGTCTTGAAGACCGTACAGCAGTGTTTCTTCAACCTTGGCCCCCCC